CTTCTTCTTCTTCTTCTTCTTCTTCTTCTTCTTCTTCTTCTTCTTCTTCTTCTTCCTCCTCCTCCTCCTCCTCCTCCTCTTCTTCTTCTTCAGTACAGTTGGTAATCTGTAAATGTTGCAGGTGGTTCAGATCTCTCATATTGTCTTTGCTTATAGGCAGGGTGAAATAAAAAGAAATGGTCACGTATATGAACTGTTCCAGTGACTCTTAATCTGCAATTTAAAATGACAGCAGGTGGATGAGAGAATCCTCATTCCTCTTCAGGTTAGGTTGGGACTCTTTTAATGAAGATTCTTTTCATGAGGGGACTCAAGTTAAGGAAATGTAATCTTGTTGAAGTAGTCTTTAATTCTGTCAGAAATTTCCTAGTGGCAAGTTATTCTGGGCACACTCTCCTCTAGGTGGCCCTGAGAGAGTACTGCATGGGCCAGTGACAACGTGGTGATGTATCTATGCTGAACTTACTCCTATTCAGTTATTATGACCAAACAGGGCCACATGATAGCATAAAAGAAATATAGGGGTTGTGTGTACTAAGTCCAATATCCATTATCATCCCATACTGAAGTGCTGGAGAATACCTGATATCCCCATATTGAACATGAAAGTTGCAGCTTCCGCACAAGGGAGGAACTCTGCTCTCTTAGGAAGAAATGATAGCCAAGTGGCACATGGTTTGCTGTTTTTTTTAAAAAAATCAATGGCCTCAATCCTACTGAAGATTTTTGCATATGGAAAGGAAATTTTGTTAAGTCTTGAGACCAATTCGCCATTCATTAACACGGTGCCTGTTGAGTTCCTGTACATATGCCCAATTGCAGAATGGGATGTGAGTACAGGAATGCAACCAGTATCTTGTTAAGGATCAGCAATTTTTGCCATCAGCACTTCTGTGATTTCCTTTATGCAGCTGTCACTTAGCAACAAGATTCTGCCCTGTGCTTGGATCATACATTGGGTCAGGCCAGCCAAAGATACAGCACAAAGGCGAGACCTCTCACATTTCCCAGGTCTCTTTTTAGGATAGATAGTATGACAAGTTAAAAAGCCGATGGAAAAGCAGAAAAGCCTGAAATCGAGGCCTTGCATTGTGGTCAAGAGGTCTGTTTCTCAACTCAATCTCAAGATGAAGATGGCAGCTTGAATGAACAACTGGTAGGTCTATAGGTTTCAGGTTACACTGACCTCTGCATACTTTTGTTGTTGTTTAGTCGTTAAGTCATGTCCAACTCTTCGTGACCCCATGGACCAGAGCACGCCAGGCCCTCCTGTCTTCCACTGCCTTCTGGAGTTGGGTGAAATTCATGCTGCTGGCTTCGATGACACCGTCCAACCATCTCATCCTCTGTCGTTCCCTCTCCTGTTGCATACTAGGGTGGAAAAAATAACATTTCAAAGCTCTGATTGTATACATTCTTCTAAAAATAACTTTTCAAGATGTGCTCACCCACTCCAGGGTTTAGTGTCTTTGTGTCTGTGTACATTTGTGAATACATATGTCTGCCGATGGGTAGAGGGGAAAATGTTAGTCCTACCACCTTCGTTTCCAATTTGCCACCTTCCGACATTTCAAGGGTGACAAGTCTGAAAAGGGAGAGCTATGCTACCCACAGGGGCTCTCCACACAATTCCCGATCCTAAAATATCAGAGACTCAAGTCACTTGGAGAGTGTCCATGGACAGCAGAGGATCTTTGCTCCAGAGACTCATTGCCACCCACTTACAGGAAAGTGATGAAATCAGAAATGGAGAGGGGCAGGGGTAGAGTGCTCTTGTCTACCCATGGTGACTATTTTTAATGCCTGACATTGTGGGTTATTTCTGTAAACATTTCTGTACAAGGTATTCTCCAGGCTGCTTATTGCTTCCTCATGTGCATGATGGTGCTATTTCTGGCTACGTAAAGATCCATATTCACAGAATAAGACAAAGTGTTATTGTATATATAGCAGAAACATAGAAAACATGCATTGCCTGAAAATCTGGTTTGAAACCTGAAACTTGACAATTCTGGAATTAACATTTTCAGACTTCAAAATGTCAGAAATACAAATGCAAAAACAGTAATGAGAAAGGTCATTTCCTTTGCTCAGATTTCCAGTGGTGACTATCCGCCACTTGTCTTAAGTATTAGTCCTGAGCTCTTGAAGTTGCTCTCCAGTGCTCTAATGGGTGCTTGCAGAGAAACTCAATCATAATTTTAACTGAGTCTCAGAAGAAATATGGGGCCTCTGTGTGTGCCTATGTGTGTGCAAAACCAGGCATACATTTTAAATGTACTCAACTAACAATATGTACAAAAAGTGCAAAGAAACCATACTTTAGTCAATGGCAAACAATGTTTAAATGCATATGTTAGAAAAACGCATGTAAACATGGGCACATGTTGAATAACTGTGTATAGCACATCTTGATGAATTTTGAAGAATCTTCCAACCCAATCCAGAAGTGGAAACAAAATGGGAGTTTTGCTGAGAAATTAAGAAATTGACGGACAGATTTACCGTACATGGCCCTAATATTTATTTCATTTTATTTCACTTCTATTCCCAGGTTCGGTTCCTGGAGCAACAGAATAAAATCCTGGAGACAAAATGGAACCTTTTGCAGCAGCAACCAGCCTCCCACGCGAAAAACAGCATGGGACTTCTCTTTGAGGCCTACGTCAACAGCCTGAGGAAGCACCTAGATTCCCTAACAAGTGAAAGAGGGAGGCTGGGTTCAGAACTGAAGAACATGCAGGAGCTGGTGGAAGATTTTAAGCAAAGGTACACATGGACCTAAAATGGCAAGGCTTAGTTCTTCAAGCCTAGAAATCCATTTCCCTTTTCAATGAGGGAATTAGGTTTCATTTTAGCAAGGTGTAATGGTGCATTCTTAAAAATACAGTCTGGATCAAAGGGCATATAACTAGTGCATTACTTCCAACACTATTATTAGATGTTCTTATCTGCCTGGGGACTGGAAAACTATTTATATAGCGGGTAGAGTTTCTTCAATGTCTCAAGTCCTGGCAGTTTTATTCTTCAAAGAAATTGACAGCACATAGCCTGTGCATGCGCCCGTTGTAATCACTGCTCCATGTTTCATTCCCCAAAGGTACGAAGAGGAAATCAACAAGCGCACAACTGCTGAGAATGAATTTGTGCTGCTTAAAAAGGCAAGTGTTGAAATGCACTTCAAATAAAAAGGGTATCTGTGTAGGCTCAGACATGAGGAATGTGGGAGTCTAGAGACAGGTAGTTCTCTCAGTATAGGGTCAGTTCCAGGTTTGGACAGGCTCCTTACAAAGGGCCTTTCAAAGAGGTACTCCTAGTCAGCTCACCTGCTGGTGGTGAGCAGGAGTAGAAGGCCTTCACCTGAGCAATGCCGGTGGCAGTTAGCAGCACTGCAAGCTAAGCTGTGAGTGACCCACAATTCAAATTCCAAACAATGTCTCAGATACAGACTATGTCAAAGATGTTGCAAATTATTAAAATGTGTGTGTGTGTGCGTCTAAACAGATGACAGAGAGAAATCTATGTCCATCTCAGTGGATACCAGTTTCAGTCACCAGTATCCTGCTTAATTTACTAAGTCAAAATGAACTATGTGCATAATAAAAAGACCATGACTGATTAGCATTTTTTAAGTTGTTGAATGTTTTGCTCTTCAGGCACTGGAAATGCACATTCCAACAGATTCATAAGCAAAATCAGCAAGGAGTCCTGCAGCACCTTAAAAACAAAGAAACTTTATTTGCCACATAAGCTTTGGGGGCTACTTTATCACAGTAAGGTGTAATTAGGGTAGGCCCATTGGATTCAGTAGAACGTATGGCACAGTTGACTCAATAAATCTCCACTTATTCAACAGGCCTATGCTAGTTATGACTTAGTGTGTTAAGCAATAGAATTTCAGCTGTAGAAATACTACTATAGCCTATTATGACTTTATGAAACATTTCCATTGCATGTCTGGTTTGTTTTCTCCTCAGGATGTCGATACAGCCTACATAAATAAGGTGGAGGAGGATGCGAGGGTAGCTTCTCTGACTGAGGAAGTCAGTTTCATGAGAGCCCTGTTTGAAGCGGTAAGGATTTACCCTGGTCCTCTAAACACCCCCTGAAATTCTCAACTAGCTTCTTAAGAACCATTCACAAGATTCTAAACCAGGAGTGGAGAACTTAAAGCCTTCGAGATGCAACTGGACTCCATCATTACCAGCCAACATGACCAATGGTCAGGGATCTTAGAGGATGCTGTGGTCCCCTGTCAAGGAGGCACAGGGGAGAATCGAACCCCCAACCTCTGGCTCCACAGCCGGAGACCTAAATCACTGACATAGCCAGCAGTTTTGCGAGTAGTTAAACATTTACAGTATTTAAAATATTTTACTCCACCTTTTTATTTAAAAAGAACACACGGCAGCTTACATTATTAAAATACTATATTTAAGAACTAAACACAATAAGTTTACAAATATTTTAAAACATTATATTAAAATTAATAAATAAAATCAATACTAAAAACATAGTTAAAAGCAACAAGATACAACAACCCATTCAAAAACCTCTCTCAGCTAGTCAGTAAGAGAAAGCTTGCCTGAAGAGAAAGGTCTTTCCCCTGCTTGTGGAAGGACAGCAAAGATGGGGCCAGCCTGGCCTCCTGTGGGAGGGAGTTCCAGAGTCTGGGAGCAACCACAGAGAACACCCTCTCCTGTGTCCACACCAAATACACTTGTGAAGCATGTTTGGGGGGCTTCTGCACACCCCAAAATATTTATGTTGAGAGGAAATTTTTTTAGAAATCCATGCATAGAAAAAAAATGCCCTTATTTACATTTCAGTTCAAATTTTTGCATGTGTTTGGGGGTGGGAGTAAAAATTACTAATTCAAACGAAATGAGAATGAATGAATGGAATTAATGAGTATAGGGATACCTGTGGCACAGACTAGAAAAATACGTCATGTGACATTTTAAAGACTGGCAGATTTTATTTAGCCAACTTTTTCACTGCCTGTAGTTCACTTCATCAGAAGCATCTACAACCCATGAAAGCTTACATCACATAGAAACCACTAGTCTTCAAGGTGCCATGAAGGTCTTGTAAAGAAGACAAAAAAGATTGTGTGGTCCTTGTACACAATCCAAGAGAAAGTTACTAGAGCACTAAAAATTGCCGAATTGAGCTAGCTTTCGACCTCATGTAGGTCTTCATCGGTCTTCTTTTGCTGCAACAGACTGGCCCAGCTACCCTGCAGGCAATGGACTAGAAATAAATGAATTCAGCTGCATTCTCCCATTTGTTAGACAAACTGACATGCAACAAAGGATGTCCTTTGATCTTTTTTTTTTGGTGTGTGTGACTTTCAGGAACTGGCACAAATGCAAGGACAGCTAAGCGACACCAGTATTGTCCTTTCAATGGACAACAATCGGGATCTGGATGTGGATGTGATTATTGCTGAAGTGAAAGCTCAGTATGAAGACATGGTGACCAGGAGCCGAGCTGAAGCTGATGCCATGTACCAAAGCAAGGTCTGTTTCATTCCAGGGATACTCCAAAACAAACAGACAGACAGACAGACAGAGGACAGCTAAGCGACACCAGTATTGTCCTTTCAATGGACAACAATCGGGATCTGGATGTGGATGTGATTATTGCTGAAGTGAAAGCTCAGTATGAAGACATGGTGACCAGGAGCCGAGCTGAAGCTGATGCCATGTACCAAAGCAAGGTCTGTTTCATTCCAGGGATACTCCAAAACAAACAGACAGACAGACAGACAGACAAAACCACGCTCCAAAACAAACAAACGAACAGACAGACAGACAGACAGACAAAACCAACCAATCAACAACAAAAAACTAAACATATGAAGTATTTTGGGTTTTTGGTTTTGAAATTTGAAAGATTCAAAACGAGAATGGGGCAAATTTCTAAATGGTTCTAATTTGCTAAAATCATTGCAGCAATTAAAATATGAATGCACTTTTGAAGTTTCATAGTTCCTCATCAAGAGGACTAATTCAAAACATCATACGTTTTAGTACCATCATACGTATTGGCAAAACAGCTACCATGTTCTCTAGACTCACAAAGAGAGTATGGCTTAATAAGAAGCTGACGGCATATACCAGTACAGCGGTGCCTCGCATAACGAGCGCACTGTTTAACGACGAATCCACATAGCAATCTATTTTTTTAGATCGCTAATGTGATCGCATTGTGATGTTTTAATGGGTAAAACATCGCATTGCGATGATCGGTAAGTGTTTCGCTTACCGATCTTCGCATTGTGATGTTTTTTGAACAGCTGATCGGCGGTTCCAAAATGGCCACCGAGTGCCCAAAATGGCCACCGCAATCATTTTTGTGCTCTGCCCTTGCTTACCGAGGGCACGAAAATGACGGTGCTATGGAGGAACTTCGCTGAACAGTGAGTTTGGGCCCCATAGGAACGCATTAAACGAAGTTTAATGCGTTCCTATGGCTTTTTCCGTTCCGTTTAGCGATGTTTCCTCATAGCGACGATTAATCCGGAATGGATTAACATCGCTATGTGAGGCACCACTGTATTCAGGTCTATAGAGCTCCTGTCGTGCAGTGAGTCATGGACCCTTCATGCACGCAGGACAGGAAGCTGAACACGTCCCATATGTGTTGTCTCTGACTCATTTTTGGTCAGGTCTATAGAGCTCCTGTCGTACAGTGAGTCCTGGATCCTTCATGCATGGCAGGAGAGGAAGCTGAACACATCCCATATGCGTTGTCTCTGACTCATTTTTGGTATCACCTGGCAGGACAAACTTCCAAATTGAGTAGTCCTAGAATGAGCTGGAATTTTTAGCAGGTATACATTACTGAAACAGTGTCGTCTACATTGGCTTGGGCATGTTGTGAGAATGGCTGATGGTTGGATTGTTTGATAGTCACAGAATTGAGGGAGCTTCCTTATGCCAGATTAGACTGTAGAGTAAATCCAGTATTAATCCTAAAAGCCATTGAAAGCAGTGGGACTTGGGTTAGTTGTGACTAAAAGTCTCATTCAAACAGACCCGGTTTAAATAGGATTAACATTGGATGTTGCCTCATTGGTTCTTTCAGGCTAGTATTGTCAGTATTTTGAAAGGCAACAGCTCAGGATTAACATTGGATGTTGCCCCATTGGTTCTTTCAGGCTAGTACTGTATTGTCAGTATTTTGAAAGGCAACAGCTTTTTTTTTTTTTTTTGGATACCAACTCCCAGAATTCCCCAGGTAGAATTCAGAGAGCTCCTGACCACAGACACACACCTACGTTGCCCACACTTGAAACAGAGCCTGTTCTGTTTCAGGCTGTTTTGGGCCCACTACCTGTACCAAAGGAAACTGCCTCTCCCCATGTATCCTGGGGTGGGGCTCAGTCTTTGTGGGTGGTTCAGTTCTTTGGGGATGCTCTATATCGAGCCTAATGGGCAGTGAGACTGTGCCACCAACAAAAGACTAGGCCACCTGGGAAGCATGGGGTGCAGTTCCTGTTTTGTCCAAGAAAAAGGCCCAGGAGAGCCTGGAAGACAGGCCTTGTTCCAGATGAGTGAAATGTAGGTGCGTGCCTGTGGACAAGAACCCTGCATTCCATCTGGGGAGTTCTTGAAGAGTTTTGGGATTTGAAATCAACAACAACAACAAGAACACAGACACACGCATGCACATGCACACACATGCACGCGCACATACGCACGCACGCACACAAACTAACAGAATGGCACACCTCTACTATGGCCAGAAAGGAAGCCACCTCTTGATTTTGGGACCACTGGCGCCTCCCACCAAATGCCTTTCACCTCCTGTTATTGGGTGGTCAGAAGGTTTCCTTCAGCTAACTGGATTCGACCAGAGACACAGCCTAAATAAAGTCTGGCAGCGATTAATTCCATCTGTTAATAAAATTAGTTTCAGGAACTTCAGCTCACAGCTGGGAAGCATGATGATGTCCTGAAAAGCTCCAAAGTGGAGATTTCTGAGCTCAACCGACTGATCCACAGACTGAGAGCGGAAATTGAAAATGTTAAGAAGCAGGTATGCTGTGCTGCTTATATGAGCGGGATTTCTTCAATGTGTTATGAATGCGGGGTTCTCGCTATGCAGTCCCTTCACTGTGAAGAGAAAAGGCAGGAAACAAATGTTATTGTTTCCAATACACTGATTTTTAACCTTTTAAAAACAAAATTTAATTCACAATAATAGCTGTCCAAATAGCCCTGGGTTTGTTCTGGAGCTTTTGAATACCAATGTTCATATTCTCATTCACATTTTTTACTAGCTGCTGGCAGCTCTTTATCATGAAAAGCACAAGACCTCCATTATTTCAGCAACTTTATTAAAATGTTCCAGCCAGGGATGAGCAAGAGAAACTGTGTAGGAGGAATGAAATAAGCGTACAATATGGCAAAAACAAAATACAAAGCAAAAAAAAAACAAAACAAAAAAAACATTATAGCAAATTATGGCACACCAAACCATGCCATTACCTGTAGAATTACTAGAAGTGCAGAACAGATATGTGTGTGTCAGTGTGTCTGTGGGTGGATGCTCGGGGCTAAATCAATTTGCTATGGATATCTTTTAAATATTTACTGTTCTACTAGGTATTTTAATTTGTTCTTTCTTCATTAGAAGGTCTACATCAGGAGTGGAACAACTGTGGGCCTTGGAGATGTTTGGCTTACAAATCTTCCAAATGGCCAGTACAGTAGGATCCCTTTATCTGCGGGATCAGTATCTGCTGATTCACATATCCACAATCTGAAAATGTTAAAAAATGATTTGAAAAATCCTAGAAATACAGTATATTTCTAAAGGTGAAGTTACCAGACTGAGCCACTAGAGGAAGCCAGAGTCTACGCAAGGTATAGTGTTTCCTATTAAAATAGGGCTTGCTACCATCCTAATTTTTCAGGGGTGGGCTTGGACCCAATCCCCTGCAGATATGGAGATCCTACTGTACTTAGGGACTGTTGCAGCTATACCTCTCTTAGGCCAAGGTTTCTTCGTTCCTGCTTCAAATCCTGGCCATGTTTGCATTTATGCAGAAATGAATCCCACGGTACGTGTGCCTTAGTTAATAGCCGCAAAGAGTTGTGCACTTCTGGTTCCTTATGCGCAACTATATCTGGTAGCAAAATTTGTGTAAAAATAAACTCCAGACTCATAATACGTTTGCAAATATAAGGACGCTCATATCCACAATCTGAAAATGTTAAAAAACCCATAATACGTTTGCAAATATAAGGACGCTCTTAAAACACAGGTGGCACTTTCTCCCGTGGCATCTATCCCTGTCATGAATCTCTGGCCATGTGAAATCTGAGCTGATTCCTGTTTTTGTTTGTTTGTTTGTTTGCTTTCATGGCAGTGTGGCCTTCTCCCCCCCGGCATCGCTGAGGCTGAAGAACGGGGCGAGATAGCCCTCAAGGATGCGAGGGAGAAACTGGCGGAACTGGAAATTGCCCTGCAAAAAGCTAAGGAGGAGCTGGCCCGTCTTTTGCGGGATTACCAGGAGCTGCTGAATGTTAAGATAACTCTTGATATTGAGATTGCCACCTACAGGACACTCCTGGAAGGAGAGGAATGCAGGTGGGTGTCATGGAGCCCAGGGATTCCTCAGTTGTTAAACTGAACTATCCATATGCTTTCCTATTGACGGTCCTTCTCCAAATAGACTTTAAACAAAAAATCATCATGGTTCTAGAACGATCCTTTCACGTGTGAAGGGAATAGAGCTTTACTGCCTTATGTGGGACTGAGGAGTGAAGTGACAGCAATGCTGGCCCTACCATTCGGCACAATGAGGCAATCACTTCAGGCAGCAGCATGTGAGGGGCAGCAATGACTGCCGATCTTCCTTCCAGTTTTTGAAGCAAATAATGATTGTAACTCCCCCCCCCCCCAAAATCGTAGTCAACTGCACTGACTAAATTCAAGAGAAACCTCATAGACGAGATTGTGTCGGACACATGTATCATGAAGAGAAGTAGAGGCAACCCTACTTTAATACCACTGACATGGTTGTACACATAGGATGTGTGTTCAACCAGAGCTGCGTTTGCAATCAAGATGGGCTGCTAGATCATAACCTTTCTTGGGTTCTCAAGTTCCTGTGAAATATCTTGCTTCTGACATAAGACAGAGACAGTGAGCAGGTCCTTTCCCCCTAGCGGTTTGAACAAGTAGTGTACCCTGGGCCTCTTTTCCCTTTGTGAAGTAAAACACACCAAGGGCAAGCAGAAAAGGATAGCCTGACTTTTCAGAGAGATACAAACAACCCATTCAGTTTCAGCTTGTTTATAATCCAAGCAACAAAGCAGGAGTTGTTGTAGTCCTTAAGCTTTAAATCAGTCAAGGATGATCAAAAAAAGGCTGAGTTCTTTTCCTCCGTCTCTACTTTCAGGTCTGATGCCCAAAGATGAAGCTGATCAGGTTTTATATTCCTATTGAAATGTATGGGAAATTAAACTCAGCCTTTTGCGGAACTTTTAACCCACCATATCTGAGTTGTTGAAATTGGTCAGGGACTGCTTTGAGTGTAAACAAAGAAATCAAGTCTAGTAATTTTCACAGACGGCATAAATCGTGAAAGTGATCTCTGAAATGTGCAATAATCCTATAGAATGTTGGGTTAGAACTTCAGGCTACCACCCTATATCTAATTCCATGGAAAGGAGGGAGGTAGACATGCATAAAACTGAACTGAAAGGGGACATAATGCAATTATACAGTTCACAAGGTACCTAGGAAAGGAGGAAAATGAGGATTTTGTGGTTATTAAGGCCAGTGCCTTCCTATCCCACACTGAGTTCATATCATAAATTTGCAGTCACATGATGCATGGCCATTAGTGAATCATTAACCTGTCGAGTGTGCTCACTGTGGATCATTTCTTGTTCAGCTAGAGGCTTCTATTTTTGGTTACAGATCTTTTTTTAAAAAAAAAAAGTTGTGTTGTATGTGTGAATGGACTTAACACAACTTTTGTGAACTACTGTCACTGCTCATGTCCTTTAAAATGTTTTTTATTTTTTTTAAAAAAAAATTGCGGTGTTTGTGTTGACACTTCAGTTAGCTTCTGTCAAATGGTGTCAAAAATAAGATGTAGGCACTTAGTGAATTGGAAGGAAATGACTCGGTAACCCAAAAACATATTGGGATGCACATAAATACCAGAGGACCCCAAAACATGACAGGAACACAATTAAAAGTCATAGAACTACAGGGGGACATTTCACTAGTGTGACCATGGACTAACTTGGGTAATTCTTTCATTTTCCCAACAGGATGTTAGGAGAATGTGGTGGTGCTGTGAACATCTGTAAGTAAGATTTTCTGTGTGTACTTAGTATCAGAATGTTTCTAAAGCCTCCATGTTCTAAAGAAATACAGAATATTTAATTCCTATAAGAACCAGAAAACAGATCCTGAACTGCTGGTTTATTTAGAACAGGACTGAGGAACATGTAGACCTCCAGATGTTACCAGACTATAGCTCCCATCATTCTTCTCTCTTGGCTATGCTGGACAAAGCTGGACATGTTCCCCAGCCCTCCTCTAATGAATGCATATGCAGCTTGTGATGTTTGGGTAGGAACAAGTCATTAAAACTCAGAAATCACGAATAAACACTTCTGTTTCTGTTACCTTTTATCACTTCAAAGACAGAGGAGCATGGGCTAACTTCATATAGTCAGGTGAATAAATAAGTGATATGTATGTCCAGTTTACTTACTTTTTCCATTTAATTATACCCAGCCTTCCAGGATAAACAACTTTCAAGGGAGGCTTACAAGGAAGGGAGCATTACAAAAACCACATAAACCTAAAAGAGCAACTCATAACAATCACACCCGGGGCGGGGAGAGCTGAATACTTTTGGGAAAAGGGGTCTGGCGCAATTTTGCTAGGTGTCTGTTTGACTGTTTCTTTAGCAGATGTATAGGTCACCTCTCAGAGTACAGATTTTTCTCAAGGCAGAATCCAGAAAAGAATAAAATCAGTTAAAAACTATGAATGGGTGAACAAAATGAGAAAGAAGAAGAAGAGGGAAAAGCAGGGGAAAATAAAATCAGTGTATTTCAATGGGCTTACCGGTAAATATCAACCTTAAAAATCTGACAGTTGGTCTTTGGCAATTGTGCAGTATATGTAGAAGGGAAATAGAATTGGAAAATACCTTTTAGTGTGATTTAGTCTGCCTATACAGTAGCACTCCTATCCATTGGACCAGCCTCTGTGGATTCATTTACCTACTGCCTGAAAATATGAAATAAAACCCTGCAGAAATACATATTTCATTTCTCTGTATTCCCACAATGTATTTACCAGAATTAGGCAGTGGAGGAGCCAGAGGCAATGCTATGTACGGCGTTTGTGATTTCTGCCATTTTTTAAAGTCTACTGAGGGGGGGGGAGGGAATTGATCCCCTGTGGTACTACAGTCCTTCTGTATTGTGAACCGCGCAGAGAGTGCTTCTGCTATGGGGTGGCAAATAAACTGAAGAAACAAGCAAACAAACAAATAAATGATGAAAAGGGTGGGGCTGTCTGGAATTGAAAACAAGAGTCATTCTTACTGCAGTTTTTATCCTCTACCACAAAACTTCACAGAAGCAATAGCCCACTTGTGATTCTCTCTGAAATCAAAGTACTGTACCAATGAAGAAGAATTACAACCCTCTCTCTCTCTCTCTCTCTCTCTCTCTCTTTCCTTCCTTCCTTCCTTCCTTCCTTCCTTCCTTCCTTCCTTCCTTCCTTCCTTCCTTCTTTCTTGGCAGCGGTGGTGAGCAACAATGGCACGGTCGGTGGGAACGGACTGAGCCGCGAAGGAGGGCTTAGTACTGGAGGAGGAGGTTCAACTTCGGGCAGCAGCAGAGGCGCCGTAGGGTATAGTTCTGGAGGTGGAGGAGGCTATCCTGGCCTGAGAATTATATCATCAACAACCTCTACAAGCAAAAGGACCACCATCAGATGAGCCATTGTTCTGTGTCCTCCCTGAAGACGCTTGTCAGCACTAAACCTTTGTTGTGGAGAAACTTGCCCTTGGTGTGCAGCAATTCTGTTTTTCATTGTCTTAGGACCAGACATGGGCAGCTGTGACTCTCCAGATGTTTTTAGACTGCAACACCCATCAGCACTCATCATTGGCTATGCAGGCTAGGTCTGAAGGGAACTGTAGGCCAAAATGTATCTGGGTGGGCATAGTTGCCTGCCTTGGCTTTAGAGAAATGGTATTCTTTGAGCAAGGATTTGGATTTAGGACTTCTTTGTGGAACACAGTGACAACAATCCTAGTGCGGAGGCTCAAGGTATAACCAATAATGCAGTATTTACGCCACTTGAATGGTCATGTCTCTTGATCACCATTTTGCAAACCCTGTGAACTGTACTATAGCAAAGCAGGATGCCAAGAAACCCATTAGATTGCCTCCCACAGAAGTTCAAATCCCCAGAGGTTCCCCTGGAAGAAGGGGTGGCAGTTTAACCAATAGGTCTCTGACAGACTGGACTGTAGATAATGCAGTTTCCCCTTATTCCATGCTGTCACGATGACACAACGGCTTGTGACCCAGCAGTTGAACACAGTGTCCTATCGCATAGTCAGCTGCTACCAAGGCTGTACAGAGCCAGGTATTTTTAAAAATAACCTCCCCCAAAGCAACCACACTAGAGATACATTGTGTAGCATCAGGACCTTCTTCTCCCTCTGTGGCATGCGTGTGTGTATGTACTTTCTTCTCCTTTTCCAAAGCTACCTCCATTCAGTCACAAAGTCCTTTCAGGTCCTCGTGGCAAGTGGCTCTAGCTATAGGTGGTGACTGGCAGGCTTTGCCCTCTCTGCCAGAGCGTCTTTATCCAAGGCAATGGCCTCACCAGCTTCCAGGTGTAAGGAGGAGGGGCTGGGTGAGAGCTAGTAGGGACATGGACTTGGGTTCATTGTGTCATTTGGGGAAAAATGGGAAGAAGCATGCCAGCATCACAACTTGAGGGCTTTCTTGTTGCACAAGACTTGGCAAAAGCATTGGAAGGCCTGGATAAAAACTCCCTGATTGGTTCTGGACAGCCTCCCATATGAGTCAGGATGGGCATAGACCCTGGGAAGCCCCCAAATGTCGTCTGTGCCGGCTATCTCTTGCCATCAATCAAGCTGCCAAAAAAGATGCCCCACCCCTATTTTGTGTCAAGATTCCGATCCTGATGCTCTTCGTGCCCTTTTCTGTAATTGCCTGTTCTAGAAGCAGTTACACACACACGTGACCTTGCCTGAGACCTCACTGGGACCTACCCATCCCCCTCCCATCTCAAATCTTGGCCCTGAAATCTTAGGGAAGGAGATACTCTTAACTGTCCAAGCATGGTGCCCAAACACATGTCATGTGTGTACAGAGCTACCAGGAAGGTGCTTGTCCTTCCCCTCAGAACAGTTCAAGGAACTTGGGACAAAGTTCTGTAGTAAGGAAAGGAATAGGGAGGACCACCCCTGTCTCAGCCATAATTGTTCTGGCAAATATAGCAAATATTTGGGGGTGGGGGTGGGGAATATGTTCATTGGCACATGGCCATTTTTTTTACACGGTGTCCTTGTTTTCAATCAGTTTATACGTTTCTCTTCTTAGCTTAGCTGGGAAATCACAGTTCGAACATCAACAGACAACATTCTGTATCCCTGTACAGCTGGCAAGTCTTTGGGTCCAAGTCCCAAATTTGAGTTCAAGTCTTTGGTACTAAGCCCCAAGTCCCTATTAAAAACAAGGTTTTCCCCCCAGAAAAAAAGGGAGGAATGAGCGGGTTCTGAGTTGTGAGTTGAGTCTAAGTCATTGGGGGAAAAAACCCCAGTGCAACTTGTATCCAACTTGGCAGCACGTCCTGTCACTCAAGTCCCCATCCCAGACACTGTAGACTGAGGCACGGAGGGCCCTGTGCTCTGCACCTGTCTGCAACCCCTGCCTACACAGGGACAGGACTGTAGCTTGGGTGGGGTGGGGGTAGAGTATTTGCCCTACAAGCAGAAAGAGCCAAGTTCAACCCATCTCATCTCTGGTTGTAAAAAGAAGTTGAATCAGGGCACATCTGCTGTGGACAACATGTGCTTGAGGAGCCCTTGAGCCACTGCAATGAGAAACTGATGCTCACCTAGATGAACAAATAACGGGACTTTCCACAATGTGGCTTCTCATGTTCTTATACAGTGTGGTGTGAAACCCATGTGATTATAATCCTTTCAGTCCTTTGGCAGAGAGATACATAGATGCGCTCATTCAAGAACATGGAGAGGAACACTCCTTACACATTATGCTTCACAGGAACCTAACCATGCTTGGGTTCTGTGTCTTCCAGGCCTATCAGTTACTTATTGTTGTCATTTTAAATCCTTAACACAGCTCCAGTCAGACTCAAATTCAAATATTGGCTGAAATCCTATTATTTAGTGTAGTAAGTGGTATTAAAGTGGACCCACAGAATGGGGATTTGGTAAGTCAGCTTGTCTGTAAGTCCCATTGATTAAAATGGGCCTACTCTACTTATGAGTTACTTTAACTTAGTAAGTTGCAGCTAGAGTAGGCCTATTTGAAACAATGAAACCTGTGGAGGAGTTGACTCAACAAATTTCTACTGATTCAACAAGCCTGCTCCAATGTGACTTACTGTGCTAAACAACAAGATTTCAGCCATAGGATGTGGCATAGCAATTCTTCTGATGTATTCTCACTCCTGTTCTGTATGTCTCATTAGGGAACAAGCTGTTGCTCGACCAGCTTGAAGTTTGTAGACCTTTCAGAAGGAGATACCTAGTAGGGAAATGCAAGGTTAGTTGTTTTAAATCAGTGCTTTCTAACTTTGGGTCCTCAGATGTCCTTGGACTACAACTCCCGGAAATCCTGGCCAACACAGCTGGTGGTTAAGGTTTCTGGGAATTTTAATCTGAGAACATCTGGGGACCCAAAGTTGGAAACTCCTGTTTTAAATGGACACTATCCACAATCTCTGCTTCCTCAAAAGAGATCAGGAAGACCCACAACACATTATGTTCCACTGGCATTCAATCGTATTCTGCACAACCATTCTTTATTCATTCTTATACAAAGCATGAGATGTCCAGAATGATCACAAGAACCCCCTCTCTGTAAAGGCTGAAAGGTGATGACTCTGGCACATTTTGGCTGAAACCCAGCAGCGTAACATATTCTGCATGAGGCTGATAATGTTATCAGTCACTCTGTTTTTTTGGAAATAAAAAATTTCAGATCCTCCCAAAGATATGGAATCTCCCTCCATTTCATCATGGGGAAGGCGTTAGGAGTCATGGGGTGGAGAAACTCTTTAATTTTAAAAACTGGACACCACTAGTAAAATCATCTGAGAAGCAGTGATGTTCAGAAATTAAATACTTCCCCCTTCTCCTGGGCCCCACACAGGCTTCCTCATGACAAAAGAAAATCCCAACAGAACCACAAAAACTTATAAAACTTTTAAAAAACAGCATTTGCAACCATATGCAGCAGTTATACTATTGGATTTCAGCCACTGAATCTTATTGAAAAAGAGGAAGTGTTTACAGCAGGCCCCTCCATCCATGGGATCACTATCCACTGATTCATTTACCCACTGCCTGAGAATACTAAATAAAAAACCTCAGAAATACATACAGTATTTATACACATTTCCAGAATGTATTTACCAGAACTGACCACTAGAGGAAGCCATAGACAATGCAATGAAGAGTGTTGTTGTTGTTTAGTCATTAAGTCCTGTTCGACTCTTCATGACCCCATGGACCAGAGCACGCCAGGCTCTCCTGTCTTCCACTGCCTCCCGGAATTCAGTCAAATTCATGTTGGTAGCTTCGGTGACACTGTCCAACCATCTCGTCCTCTGTCGTCCCCTTCTCCTTTTGCCTTCACTCTTTCCCAACATCAGGGTCTCATGAGATGGCCAAAGTATTGGAGCCTCAGCTTCAGGGTCTGTCCTGTCAATTCTTCGGTGGTCAGCCTTCTTTATGGTCCAATTGTCACTTCCATGCATCTGAAGTGGGGTGGGCTTGGGATTGATTCCTCCACAGATGCTGCAATCCTCCCATATTTAAAAATTATTCCAAGGATGCAGAATGCTTCTGTTGCTTTATGACCTGAATGAGGTGCTCACCTGTTAGCTTGATATCTTACTATTTTCCACTGAATAAAAATGAGAGTGTTTTACATTTCTACATTTTTCAGCATCTGAAGTGGGGTGGGCTTGGGATTGATTCCTCCACAGATACTGCAGTCCTCCCATATTTAAAAAATATTCCAAGGATGCAGAATGCTTCTATTGCTTTATGACCTGAATGAGCTGCTCACCTGTCAGCTTGATATCTTACTATTTTCCACTGAATTAAAATGAATGGGATAAGTCCGATATCAGACCCCAGTAGACGAATCCCACCTCAATGAGTGAAGCTTGTTACAGACAAGCTGGAAGTGTCCCTATTTGCGTTTTTGGACCACAACTCCCAAAATTCCCCATGTGGCATGACCAGTAGGAATTCTGGGAGCTGTTGTAAAAAAAACTCACCAAGAACCAAATACACAAAGCACTGGTCACAAGCAACTCAAGTTGCTTTGATTGTAGTGAGCCAGCATCATCATGACCTGATTCTAAGTGAGCTGCAACTTCAGGTCCACTCAGAGAGACTCAGACACAGAAGCTGCCTCTGTTCCCAATCATATTGCACACACGTACAAGTGAATGGTAGAAAGGGCAGGAAAGGAAAAGAAAGATTGGGCCATGAAGCAACAAGGGCCTCCTGCCTCCGCTGCACTCCTTTATAGGGATTTTTAATAAGCTCTTCTCTCTTGGCCAGAGAAATGAAAGTTTGAAACAACTCCAGCTTGAATCGTATGATGCCTCTGGGCATAGTATTTGAAAGGGCCCACCTGGTGCATGTATTCAGCTGTTTCTGATGGTCATGTGCCAGGCTACGGCCCTACTGCCTATTCAGATAATGCCTTGCTTCGGGCCAGGGTGGAATTCCCCTGTAAGGTGATCACTTTCCCAAAATCTAGCTGTCAAAGACAAGGTTTCTTGCCAGTTCTTGTTTTTTTAAAAAACTGCCTGGCATGGCAGCATTTGCATTCTGGGGATGGAAGACCCACAGCTGTCAGTGTGTGGCATCAGATGCCATACACAGGGATGATTCAGGGCTAATTGTGGATTGCAGCACACACGGTACGTAAATGGGAGGTGGGCTAATCAAAGTTGTGACCCAACAACTCCTGGAAGACAACATTGGGCCTTCCCCTGAGTTCCGTGAAGAGCAAACTTAATAAGCTATGATTCTGTTCAGCAGCGAGGAAGGGGAGCTTTTCTGAATCCTGCCCCCATCCCAGGCAGCTCTTACACCAGTAAAGTTTCAGGTGTGTGTTTACAAGGGAAGGCCACAAAGCGGAACACTTCTTGTCCAAATGATTTTGAGTGGTTCACAGCTGGCAGAGAAAGCTTAAGCACCCCTCTCCTTCAACACGACTCCATTCAAATGTTTAGCTTCATTTTCATTTAAAAACTAAATAAATAAATGAAGTGTTCTGTCTTGCTTTTGCCTAAAGCAACATGCGCTTTGACCCTGGAGACTATGTGTTGATCAAGCTTCCAAAGGCTAGTTTCTACCTTGTTGGATGCTGAGCTGTGTACCATTAACTCTACAGAAGTGATGGCGGGGAGGGGACTTCACCTCCTGGAGCCCAGCTGATCTTCAAGATTTGAACAGGGGATTCCTCTGAACAAGGAGGGACCTCTGAGCAACATGGACATGTTTCAGCTCTAATGATACACCTCAGAAAGCTCCGGATCCTAGTCCCCAAGGTCACTGTTCACATTCCCTTGTCTATCTTTTATTAGTGGTTCAAGAGCTGTCTGCCTGTTATCAACGGATAACCCTTTTCTGAATTCTCTCAGGAGTCAGATCCACAGCCTTTGACCTTGGGAATAATTTGTTTTTAAAAAAATTATAACTCCATCCATTGCAATCTCTTCGACAAAAGCATAATTGTGCGAAAGCAGGAGAGCAAGGCTTGTATGCACAGGCTCAGCCTCCTCCCTCACCTAAAACATGTGTCGGGGGCACTTCTGTAAAAGGGAGTGGGCTTCATGGGACAAAGAGCTTGAATCATTGAGGTAAAGGTAAAGGTTCCCCTTGATTCATTGAGGTTGACCACAAGAGGAAGAATAGTGCTGAATGGGACAGTAGGATCCATCACACCTGCAGGCAGCATGCTAGTTTCCTGAGTGCAAGGCAGGCCACGTCACAAGGATAATTCTGTCTTTCAGCATTGTTGTTGTTCTGTTTTTCTCCAGCCTCCACCGCCTGAGGTGGCTTCCTCACTTTGCCTACAAGTGCCAGTGCCATGGGTATAGAACATCTGTGCCATCAGGATTGGACCTCATGGGAAGAGGCTGAGCATCGGCTTCCCTTCTGCAGATCTGCCTCCTTAAGAGCTTGGTGCTGTGCTATGGAAAATAGGTGAGGCGGTACCCACAATGACCTAGCTCTCCCTGCCTCCTTAAGAGCTTGGTGCTATGGCTTGGAAAATAGGTGAGGCGGTACCCACAATGACCTAGCTCTCCATGTGATGACACTCATGTCTGGGGCAGAACTAAAACATCTTGCAGAGGAATTTGGATCATTCGCGGCCATGCTGTTGGTTCTGGACACAGTCGCTGAGGAAGAGTGTTGGGTCATTGTTGCCCCTCTGCGAAGTGACTCTGCATTCTGGGATAGACACTGTTCTCTCCTGTGGCTGTGGCTGTTGGCATAGAAATGGACGGAGGGAATCTCACGATTTCTGGAAGGATTTTGTCTGTGGTGGTTTATCTTCTCACTGAGGAGCTTCTGGGCCTCCTTAAGAGCTTGGTGCTAGGGCTTGGAAAATAGGTGAGGTGGCACCCACAATGACCCAGCTCTCAATGTAATGACACTCATGTCTGGGGCAGAAGTAAAACATCTTGCAGAGGAATTTGGATCATTCGCGGCATGCTGTTGGTTCCGGACACAGTCGCTGAGGAAGAGTGTTGGCCCTCTGCGAAGTGACTCTGCATTCTGGGATAGACACTGTTCTCTCCTGTGGCTGTGGCTGTTGGCATAGAAATGGACGGAGGGAATCTCACGATTTCTGGAAGGATTTTGTCTGTGGTGGTTTATCTTCTCACTGAGGAGCTTCTAATCGTCAAAATTCCTGTGCCTTCTACCTAGAGTGATTGTTGGGTCCGACTTTACTGAGAGCAATGCTCTGTTTGAAGGTACCGTGCAAGTCAAAGTGCTACCCAGTCCACACTCTGTTTAACACTTAAGGAGTCTTAAGTAGGGACAGCCTTGAATTAGCATGTTACTAGTAAAACTAAGCAGCCAAATGGGTCACTTGGTCACAGTGCTCAATGCTATAGTACGATGCATTCTATATTATTTCTATTTCTGTGTTAATACGTATTTCTCAGTGGCTGAAATCCAGCAGCAAGTCAAGACTAGAGTAGTCTTCACTGAATCAGTGAAACTTACGGAGGAATTGACTCCCCAACTCAATTAGTCTACTCTGTTTGTAATTTACTGCTGGATTTCAGCCAACATATACATATAAATGAGCACAAGTATTTTCTAAGCAAAGTTCTGCCCCTTCCTCCTCTTCCTCCTCCTCCTCTTTTCTTGAGAAGCGTAAGTGACTATGTGTTTACAGGATAATAAGCTTTCCTTTGACTTTTAGTGTTCTTCATAAGCAGAAGAAGAATGTATGTGTCTGAAAATAATTCTGGGAAAAGCTATCAGCTATGGTGACAGAAGCAGGGAATGATTTTGCCCAAGGCCGTTGCTGAGACCACCCAACCTAGGGCTAAGAAATGTACTATTTGTCCTCACCCCAGAAAAGAGGCGAGTGCTTTTCCCTCCCTGTCTTGAAATGGGATGGGCAAGTGGACTTAGTTCAAATTAACCTTGAGGATTATTTGTGATCCACCAGATCTCTAAATCCTGGTGAATGACAAGCCTGTGGCAAAAGAGGATGGGGAGGCAGGGAATGTACCTCCCATATGCAGCTTTGAATTAAGATAGTGAAATACAATCCTTCACCTAAAGACTTCTGAGAAAATAGTTTGTTGGTGATAATTATTTTTGATTGGCATGTGAAGGCATTGATGAGAAAATTATTTTCTTGGTATGCATCATTTTAGTGCCATCAAAGCTTGCCAACCAAGCAATTTTGTTTGTGTGTGTTGTTTCACTTCAAAGCAACACTTCCAAATGTTAAAAAGAGGATTTTATTCCTGCCAGACATAACCCAGCCCAGTAATGAACTTCTCAATTTATTACCTTAATCCTGACAAGCCCATCTCCACACATATATGTATATATAGAGAAGGGAGATTCCGTTCCCACCTCAGAGAAGAGTCTGGTGTCCTTCTCTCTCTTCTGCTCTCTCTCTTATAACCTTTGCTAAACTTTCTCCTATAATATTTGAATTGGACACAATGAATAGGCAATTCAGTTCCAAGTCTGGTGGTGGAGTCAGGACTTCCCGTGGCCATAGTTCTTCCAGTGTTGTCAGTCCTGGTGTGATGAAAGGCAGCTTCAGTTCATTTTCTTTATCCCGAGGAGGGAGAGGAAGTGTAGGCATAGGGCTAGGTGGTGGGTTTGGTAGTAGGAGCCTCTACAGCTTGGGAGGGTCCAAGAGAACCTCCGTTGGTGTTGGGAATGGTGGTGGTGGTATAGGCTTTTGGAGTGGTGGAGTCAGTAGTAGAGGTGGCTTTGGTGGTGGTGGTGGCTTTGGTGGTGGTGGATTTGGAGGAGGAGGAGGATACGGAGCTGGAGGTTATGGCCTTGCATTAGGTATGGGGGGATATGGTGGTGGTAGTGGAAGAATGGGCCCGGTAGTTCCCCCTGGGGGCATCCAGCCAGTGACTGTCAACCCCAATCTCCTGTCACCACTCAACTTAGAGATTGATCCAGAAATCCAAAAAGTACGTGTGCAAGAAAGGGAGCAGATAAAGACTCTCAACAACAAATTTGCATCCTTCATTGACAAGGTGAGTCTATTAAAACTATGCTCATTGTGTGGAGTCTCAAAGTGCTCTGGGGATTTGTGAGAGAACTTACAGGGAAGAGATTAACTTCCCAGTGCATTTTGGATGGAAGCAAATTTGATATCTTTCTTCCTGGACAAACCTTTAACTGGTGATTCGATGGCTTCCCTCAATGAACATTTCAGCCTCCTGTTTGTGAGACAACCCTGGCCTGTTTCACAAAACTACAATTCCCAGAGTTCCATAGGAAGAATGAAATATTAATAGTGCAGTTCCTGTTGTTCATTTTAGTACTGCAGTTGCTATACCCTATTCCCAGATTTTTTTTCAGCAAGTTCTTAGGATAAAGTCCTAGTAACAGCCAGAAACTTGAGTCATTCAACTATGTATATGTGGAGAACATATGTTTGTGTTATAGATGTTATCAATAACGAGTGATAAACGGGGCAGGCCTGAACATTAGGCCAAGTGTGATGTTGTTCAGGTTTCAGGTTTTGGGCATCATCGACAGCGAGGAAATTATTAGTTACACAAATTGCTACTACATTTTTATTTCCAAGGAGGGTATAGAGCTTCTTATGGAATTTTTCTCTCTTACCTGTCAAAATAACCTCACCAGCTTTGAGTACTATTCCCTGTGACTCAGTGGTAAAGGGGGAGATATTTGCAGTTCCACTTCAAGCAGTAAAATGGTGGTGGCCAGCCTTCATAGAGATCATGTGTGTCACACAGACCAGTTTTTTTTTTTTTTTTTTGCAGCAGACCTGGAATACAAGAAGCACGGTCTGGGAGATGAAAGCCTTGAGTGCTGCTGCTCAGCTCTCCCATGCTGTACTTCCTGGATTGCATCGCAGAAGAGAATGTATTGCACCAAGATTTTTGTACTGCTTAAATTTGAGATGTTGCTATAGTCAATAATTTTTCAACTGGCCATTCCAGTGGTATATAACAGGACTTTGATATGAAACTTTAGCATATTGGCGGGCCCAATGGCCCACTTGGACAATAAACGTAGTGATAAGCGTTCTTGGTCCTTCTTATGACGTGCGGAGACATAAGCTGGCATGATCATAGCAGTCACTGTTCTTTTAACAGTGCCATTGCAGAATGGCAGATAGTAATGCACTTCTCCTTTGAACTGCATGGGTTTGAGCAGCATAGTTTTGGCTACACATTTTTTCCAATAAATAAATAAACAAATAAACAAATGTTTGAATAAATATTAGAATAAATAAATATTCAAAACATGCTTTGCTGATACTCTTCTCCAAGAAGTGGCCTGAGGAAAATGGGTCTCAAACTTACTGGGGCCCCTGTTGGTGGTGGTGCAGCAGTCCCTGGTCCGATTGTGGCAGCCGGACTGGTCCCCTCTCTTAGCATGGTGGCCAGAGAGGGTGCTGGGGCATTCTGGGAGGCTGACATGGGTCATGGAAAGTCATGGTGATGTGCTTCTCTCTCTCTCTCTCTCTCTCTGTATAAATCAGCTATTTATGCTTTTTAGTTAAGTTTTGGGGGGGCATAAGAGCTATGTATAGATTTTGAACTACATGGGAGTTCTAGACCCCTAACCCCCACATTGTTGAAGAGAGAAGTGTATAGGGGTACCTTCCAAAGATGCTTCCAAGGCTACTTAGCTCATGCCAGAGCTCAAGAAACATTTAAGAATGCAACTCTAAAGAATGTAGCTCCTGGCTTCTTTTCACTGAGTGATGTATTTCCACTTTATCTTCATCTTCTGGATCTGATACAAAAGGTATTATGCTGAAGTCTGAGCATTTTACTTCTTGCCAATGCATCTGGAGTGGCTAATTCCAGCATGTGCCCATTTCTGTTCTAATCCATTTGAGAAGATTAAGATACGTGGTACCACGATGAGATACCCTGTTTCCTTGCCTCAGCACAGCAATGCTCCAGTGAGCCTGATAAGCCATTGTCTTGAGTGCATCTAGTTCTCGCTGCCCACTCTGTATGTGAAACGGGCTCTGGTTTCAAAGCATTAATTGCTTAGCAGAACCGTGTCCCTTGCTGGATTTCAGGTACGGTTTCTGGAGCAACAGAATAAAGTTCTGGAGACCAAATGGAACCTCCTGCAGCAACATGGCAGCATGACCACAAAAGTCGACACTGACCCACTGTTCGAGGTTTACATCTCTAGTCTCAGGAGCCAGTTGGACTCTCTGGTGGGTGATCGTGGAAAACTGGATGCAGAGCTAAGAAACACTCAGGATCTTGTGGAAGATTATAGAAGGAAGTAAGTGGACCTCAGTGCCTGAATGTGTGTGTGTGTGTGTGGCATTCAGGTTGTAGACAGCATCCCAGTGAGGCCATACAGCTGATAAGCTGGCCCTTCCATTAGGCACAGTGTGATGGTTGATTCTGGTGGCATACAACAGGGTGCCAAGGTTCAAAACTAGAAGACTGAACAGTATGTGCCACTCAGCCTGAAATGTGGTCTGTAGCCCACAGGTACAGTGCATGATTGTTAGCACTATTTGGGTATTTTAAACTGTGTAAAATATTCACATATGGAAAGAAGCATTTCAACTCTTCCTCTTCTTTGTCCCTTCTGTCACCTTCCTACACACAGAAGACAATATGTGTGATGAGGGGGAGCCTTTGCTATCCACTGCAAATCCATGTGTGAATCAAGACCTCATACGCAGGGTTCTAATTCACATGAACAGTCTTTACAGATGGCATAGGAGTCCCCACTTAGAACCTGATGTCTTCTATGGGAAGGATGATGATGATGATGATGATGAAAGTCGGAAGAGAGGGAAGGAGGGTACAAAGGGACAGAGCACTCTTCTCTGTATGCTGCATCATTTATTATGCCACAGTGGGCATTTTCCCCATTACCAGTGTTGTAATAAAGGCCCATTGTTAACAATTTCACTTCCATAAGTGAATGGGAGATAGTGCCATCATGTCCTGCTCTTCACTTAGCAAAATCACTTGGGGTGGTTCAGACAACAGAATGAGTGAGTACAATCCAGAGGCCAAGACCTTGAACAAGACCTTGGACTATAGATGTTAGAAACCAGAATGACCACAGGTAGGCACGGGGATTTTTTCTTCTCCTGGGTGGGGAGTTCTGAGAATTATAATCCAAAAAAGCAATTTTTCCTAGCTCTGTTGAAGTCATAGCATAAACTGTGCCATTTCATACTGTAATTGGAGGAGGTACTTAAAAAAAAACCTTGGTGTTTAGCAAGACTATCAGCAGGAAGAAAATTCATCTGGTCCTCCGTCAGAAGAAGCTGTAGTTCATCTGCATGCATGTTCTACTTGCAAAGGGGTTTCTATTTCTTTCACTCTAATGGTTAGGAAGTGGTCCAAAATGTAATCCTTCCACCTCCTGTGTAGGCCATTCTACCATCGTAGGACACTTGCCCCCTCATTGTACAGCCAAGTGTAACCCACCATTATAAACATAGGACTGGAAATCTAGTCTTAATTTGGCATCGTTTATGATGCAGTTTACGATGGAATTTTTTTATTGCACATTAAAGAAATGGGGATATTTAAGCAAGCATTTACTAGATCATAAAAATGTATCTTGGCTTGCAGAACAACAGCTGTGAAAATTTCATTAACAACTGTATGTAGGTATGCACGTATGTGCTTATGCATGTATGTTATTTATATGCCTTCTTTCTCCATGCAGGGGATCAAACAATTAAAACTATACAATGATCACAGTTAAAACCTCTGCAAGAGTTATACCCCCCCAACAAACATTTTATCAATATTAAAACCATCATTTTTAAGCACATGTTGGGAAAATGCTATGTTTGAGAACATAGCAAAACTGCAGAAACGGAGGAGGCCAGGATCAATAAAGTCAGATTAAAACACTTAAGACTTTGAAGAGGTGGTTTTTTTAAAAAAAATAGATTTCATACCATTGGATAGTCATCACCAAGTAACTTGGAAGGGAATATCATCATAAACACTATCATTATCATCATCACATACTTAATTCCCCTATCAGGAGAAGGATGTTAGTACTATTGGTAGGATTTCAATAGCAGAGAATACAAAGAATGAAATTCAGGAGGTCCCATGCAAATGAAATTTCCACAGAACAAAAAAGGCACATATTACAAATTTATTCCTGTTGAACATACACTAGTATCCATGGTACACTCATATAGGCCAGTCATCGGTCACTGAATTAGTGCTCATAATTTGGCGTGGATGGCATGAATTAGTTTAGACTTTTATTTTCAGTTTGGTTTTGATTACCAAAACTCAAACACAGGAGGAAGGGAAGATGACTGATTTCCCCATCTTTCATGAAGGCTGCAAAAGTGTGCTCTGAAATGTTGTGTAAATCCCACCAAATTGTTCATAGTATAGAAGACTAGCCAGACACAGAGCTTCCACCTTAAATGTTAAATAATATCAGGAGAATGCCTTGGTCCTGCACTGAGGATTGGAACAAATTACCTGGACATTCAAATAATATCCATTCACTCTTCTCAGCCTAAGTTCTGCTGACCCTGAATATGATCTTTTTTGCAAATCAGAGAATTCTTCCCACTAGCCACAAATGATTTTTGTGATGGGCAGATCATCATCATCATCATCATCATCATCATCATCATCATCATCATCATCATCATCATCATCATCATCATAGAACTGAAGAGCTGGAAGGGATCCTAGGGATCATCAGGTCCAACCCCTGTCAAGGAGGCACAGTGGGGAATTGAACTCCCGGCCCCTAGCTCTGCAGCCAGATGCCCGAATATATGTGATCATGTACATTATCTTATTTTTTCCCCTGGGTCAGGAACAGTTGTGGATTTATTGGCAAAACAAGCTGTCAAATGGTATGTCTTTGATACAGAAGATGACTGAAAAGTTTAGTGACGATTCTCACAGAGGAAGAAGCTGTAGCTGGCTACTCTTTCTTTTCCTTTGAACTTTGGATAAGAACAGGAATCTGTGTTTCTCCCCCTTACAGATATGAAGATGAAATCAACAAGCGCACTGCTACTGAAAATGACTTTGTTACTGTTAAGAAGGTAATTTTTTTAAAGTGTGGATCATTAAGTCAGGAAATCTAGTAATGAATAGACTTTTTTCAGTGCACCTGGGCTTTTAGAAGGTGCTGTGGGATCAAAATGCCAGATCTTCTAATTATTGTCAAAATACTTGCCTATTGGTCTCTGTCTCTGGAGGGGTCTTTGCTGTTATTCAGACATCTCATCTTGCAGCTGCGACCAAGCAGCCAGTGTGGAAAAGAACCTAACCATTATCTTTGGGCACAGAACGTAGTGATTTAAGGCTGCACTCATATATCCAGTTACCACAAGCAAGCCCTACCATTCTTAAGTGACATTTACTTAAGGGCAGATATATAATCAGGGAACATTGAATTGATCTGACTAAGAACCTGGAGACTGTCTCTGTCAACAATCAGAGTACGGTATGTTACTGTTAAAAACAAATTGGTTGCATTTATAGTCCCAAGCGTTTAAAGCTGAACTTCACTGAGAAGAATGGCTTCTTCTTGTATGTTGGTTCAGTGGATTTCCACATTATCATATTTGATAGCATGACTGTCATACTCTGCTGGGCAGAAACATGTGGCTTCCATCACTTTTTTTAGTCACCAGGTCAGGCAGGGTGACGTCCCACTAACTGATGTGGGCCAGAGAGTTGAGAGATAGAAGCAGAGGGAGGAGAAGAAAGAAGTCTGTTAGATAATTATAAGCTTTATTTTGACTGAGAATAAACATAGATGGTAATAGAGAGACAGTTTATAATCTAGAAATAGTGTATATACTAATATGTTATGTGAGGAAGATAAAGATTGTTAATGCCATTAGACAATATCTCTTCAACTAATACCTTATGCCTGTAGTATAACAATATAATATTTGGTCTGTGTAAAGCACAAGTAATGCATGTTTACTACCTATTAGAGTGCATATAAATTGAATAATCAGAATGTGATCATATGGGAAAATAGATTGTAATTTGGACCTCTTGGGGAGCAGTCCAGGGCAATATATTTCCTGGCGATCCCATGATGCACAAGGAAGTGAACTCCAGCTGAACTCAAGTCATGCTCAGTTTTGACGTCTGTGGTCCAGCTGTAGGGTTTTTAATTTTAGGAGCTGGGCTAGAATGATTCCCTGCCAGACAGAAGGGTCACTTTAAGGAAGAGCACTCCCGTTAAAGTAGCACTTTCCAGTGTAACTGGGCACTTGCCTTTACAGCTGCCATCCAATGCCCCCCCCCAGTTAACCTAATAAATATTTTTTGTGCCCTTGTGAAGTTTGGATTGAAAACCTGAGGGAAAAGTCCAGGTGACAGCTTAATATTTAAAGTAACTGCCAATAGTAGCTGCTCAGAATGATGAAAAGAGCCCCGAATTTACCCCTCAAGGGGAAGAGGAATAATATGGCTTAAATGTAGTAACTACTACAAGGTAATGGCAAAACCATCACAAATGTCTTTCAACTAAAGATCCTGGAGAGCTGCTTCATTTAATGTGGAATATATTGAGCTCAGACAATTACTAAGACAATTGGTAGACAATTTGTTGCCTTTCTGATGTTTTGAACTCCCAAAATCCCTGGCTATGGCCATTCTGGCTGAAGCTTCTTGGAGTTAGAATCCCCATCATCCGAAGTGCACCTAGCCCTTGTTAAGAACCAATAATGTCATCTGGTATAATGCAGCTGTCTATAGACATTTTAGTCTCCATTTCATGGGTTTAAGAGAATATTGGTATTCAATGCTTTCTTTCAGGATGTAGACAGTTCCTTCAAGCACAAATTAGAGCTTCAAGCAAAAGCAAATGGCTTGACTGATGAAGTAAATTTCCTGAGAGCCCTCTATGAAGCTGTAAGTGTTTAACCTTGCTAATCCATAGAAATCAGAGAGTATAATAAGAAATCCATCCAAGGTTGTAATCTGAGCCACTCTAGTATGAAGATGGCATTGTTCTTCTGCAAAAATGGATAGCACATAGTTCCTGAAAACCACAACACACATGATATGATGTGTGCCTTTGACAGGCTTCTGAGCTGCCATTCAGATAATATTTCTTATGTCTGCTGGCCAGGATGTTGAACAATGATGCATGATCATAATTTGGAGTTATAGTATGTGTTCGTAGGCAAATGTATAACAAAATTTTGTTTCTCCTGAAGGAACTGGCTGAGATCCAAGGACAGATCAGTGACACCAATGTTGTCCTACAAATGGACAACAACCGAGATCTAGACCTCAACAGCATCATTGCTGAAGTGAAAGCTCAATATGAAGACATTGCTAATAGGAGCCGGGCAGAGGCAGAAGCTTGGTACCAAAGCAAGGTGAGCCACCATATTTGCTGTCCCCAAGTCTACTAGCTATATATTTCTTAAGAATTCCCCGAGGAATCATTTAACTCAAGTGAACTTTGGCAAACTTATTGAAGACCCCATTATAACTGTCTGTAATGAAGATCATCTTTGGCATGGCTAGAATAGAATGAGTCCAGACATTATGTTAGAGGCTTCCCTTCCTTTTCTTCCATTCAGGAATGGGGGGGGGGTATAAGAAGGCTCTCTGATTATTACATTGTGAACAACCTGAAATAATCTGTGGATTTCTCCATGGAAGAGCCAAGAGAGAGAGAATGAATTGGCATAGTCTATATGTAGCGGTCGCTCTGAAGCCTCTGTCTACTCAGGCCTCCAGGAGTGCTCACTACTCTTCCCCTTCAACTACTGCCACCATTTATAATCAATGTTAAAAGAAACAAGTGTTTCTTCCAAAACAAAACTTGTTTATTGGTATAACAAAATAAAATAAGAAAATCACAGGTAAATAATCACGGTTTCTCAATCACTAAATCACACACAGATTTTTCCTCACTGACTATTTTGTCTCACAGGCCTACATACATGCTAATCACTAACTCACCAGCTCTCAATCTCAATCACAATCTTTCTCTCCCACCTCACACACCCCTTTTATATCTCAGGTCCTCCCCCTTCTGCACCACCCTCTGTCCCCTCATTGGCTGATGTTCCACTGCCCAGCTGTGACGGACAGGTGAGAGCAGGGCTGAATGGTACAGGGGTGATTTGAGTAACCCGACAAAAAGAGGGCAACAAAGGCAAGTGGCAAGAGGTCTGACAGGGGCTTATTAAGAAATGTGACCTGGAATGAAAAATAAATTGCACTCTTAATAAGCAATGATTTTTTAAAAAACAAGAGCTTCATCCCAATGTGACATTTTGCACCAACTGGCTCCTGGCTCCTCTTTTGAAATCAGCCATGGATTCAAATATTAGTAAGTCCAGTCACTTGGGTCAAAGTCTAAGGATAGGCAGAGACACTCCACCCCTCCAAGAACACAGCAGTTGCCATGCTGTTTTCACTTGACTTTCAAACACCCAACTGAATATTCTCCCTTTCCCTTTCCAAGTCATGCACTGAAGCCATTTTACCTATTCCTCCCCTTCCCCAAATCTTAGACCAGCTCAATCCTATAAACAGCTCCACTACTAAGGATCATGTTTTTGCATTGCAGTTTCATGAACTTCAGACCACAGTTCTCAGTCATGGAGATGACCTGAAAAATACCAAGAATGAAATTGCGGAGCTCAATCGGCTCATCCAGAGGCTGAGAGCAGAGATTGATCATGTGAAGAAACAGGTGGGGACAGACTTAGTGTCTCAATTCTTGCCATCTTGTGGGTTTATGTTTGTATGTTGCACAGTTGGCAGCCCATCATAGTTTCTTGAATGAAAACCAGGAATGAATTTTATGTGTGGGTACGGACGGACAGACGGACGGACGGATGGGCAGGCGGGCAGGCGGGCGGGCGGGCAGGCAGGCAGGGACCAGGAATGAATTTTATGTGTGGGCGGGCGGACGGACGGACAGACGGACAGACAGACAGACAGACAGATAGATCGGTGTATAATCCTAAAATAAGAAGGAAGAGAAACATGAACATTCCCAGGAGAACTTTATGAGTTGCATCTTAACAGTTTTTAAATTCCAATTAGTCGGTGTATAGCCCTAAAATAAGAAGGAAGGGAAAACGTGAACATTCCCATGAGAACTTTATGAGTTTCATCTTAACAGTTTTTAAATTCCAATTAGTCTGGATTTCTAGGTAGATGACAATATTCATCTTGAATATTTAGCTTGCCCTCTGAAGCATTTGAAATTCCTACCAATGTTGTGTCATCCATCAAATCCTTCAGTCCAAGTCAACATTACCAATGAATCAATGAATCAATGAATCAATCTACCAATCAATCAGTCAGTCAGTCAGTCAGTCAGTCAATCAATCAATCAATCAATCAATCAATCAATCAATCAATCAAACAAACAAACAAACAAACAAACAAACAAACAAACAAACAAACAAAAGCCAAACAAACCTGAACAGCGACTTGTGCACCACCAATTCCTGCCAAGCACCAGTTCTTTCTTTGCAATCTTGTGTCAAAATAAGAGACAGCTTTTGACAATGTGACCGTAGCAGGGATAATGTCACTTTGTAAAAAACCTGATCAAAGAGCCCTGCCTTCAGGTGTGTGAAAGGGCTGGTTCTTGGCCAAGGGGATACTTGAACAATTCATATGCAATATTTACAGAGTAATATTACATATCATGACTGATGTAATATAAATACAGTGGTGCCTCGCTTAATGGGCTCCTCGTTTAACGACGGATCCGCATAATGACATTTTTTGCAATCGTTTGTGCGATCGCATAACGATGTTTCTAATGGCAAAATATTGCTTTGCGATGATCGGTAACGATGATTTCTGAACAGCTGATCGGCGGTTCCAAAATGGCCACTGGGTAAAAAAATGGCCGCCTGCTGTGTTTTCGCGCCCATTCCTCGCTTACCGGGCAGCGAAAATGGCAGCCGTATGGAGGATTTTCGCATAAAGGTAAGCTTTTTGCCCATAGGAACGCATTAAATGGGTTTTAATGCATTCCTATGGGCTTTTTTATTTCGCATAGCGACGAATTCGTATAGCGACGATTTTTGCTGCATGGATTATCGTCGCTATGCGGGGCACCACTTGTACTTGTGCAATAAGAAGCCTACTGAATACTTGACTGTTTTGTAACCTGCTACAGATCACCAGTCTCCAGGCAACTATTGCTGATGCTGAACAACGAGGGGAGTTGGCACTGAAAGATGCCCGAGTGAAACTCAAGGATCTGCAGCATGCCTTACAAAGTGCCAAGGATGAACTGGCACGTCAGCTGCGGGACTATCAGGAGCTGATGAATGTCAAACTGGCCCTGGATCTTGAGATTGCTACCTACAGGACTCTGCTAGAGGGCGAGGAGTGCAGGTGGGTTTCCCCCTGCACTGTTTTTGTTGCATAGCATGCACTATGTGGTTGAGTAAAATATGCACTTTTAATTTTATATAGGCATGACCTGGTTTGTGTGTTTACTTATACAGTACTCAAATTTCTATACACATTTCTCCCTACTCTGGCCAGTATCTTGTTATCAACAGGACAGCAGAGCTGTAGAATCAATGTTACTGAATAATGAGTCAACATCATTGTAATGGGTCTACTCTAGTTGAGAATATGTAGCTATAGAATACTGGCTCTTATCTCTAATGATATTTGTTATGTTTTTGTTGCATTATCTAGATAATTATTTCACTTACTGGTTTACATCACCTTGCGAAACGTACTCAGTAGACTGGATTCCTAGTGCCTCCTTTTCCTTTTGCTTAATCCCATCATCTCAGCCTCCACAATTCTCTTGTTTGCCCAGTATTTTCTAACGCATTACAAAGATATTTTACCATATATCTGGATGGACTCCTATCTTTTAGCTCCTCCTTCCATTGCTTCTTCCTCTGTTGTGCTCAGCCAAAGTCTCTGCTTCCTCCACTCCTTGTTCCATCATGCTTGTCTTCCTTGGCATAGCTTTCTTCCTTGAGCCCTCCCAATTGAACTGCTTCTCAATTGTATTACAGTAGATGATGGGCTGTTCATTTGATCCCCCCTCTTCTTCCACATGAATGACAACCAATTCCTCCTGTCTAAGACAATCAGATCCAGAGCAGTCCAAGGACAGAGATCCTGTGTGTTTATTTCAGCAGATGAGATTTTTCACAGTTAATGTCAACATGGTAGATAAGCCAACAGTGAAAGGGAGTGTCCAATTAATAGCAACAGCCAGTTTATACATATATTATATACCAATAAAATAAAATAATGTGAAGGAGATCACCCAGCTTGGATATGTTGAAGGGAAAGACACTTTATTGAGTTGTTACCTCTTCAGTTGTCAACATGCATAGAGACGAAGAATTAGATCCCCCTCCTCTCCATTTAGGCTTTCTCAATGCAGACAGTAGCATGTCTAAAGAGGAGAGGCTCATTCATGTGTGAAAGCTCTACACTGGAGCAAGAAGTCTGAAAAATCTAGGTTCTTGCTTTTGTGAAGAATTTATATGCGGCAGGATTTTTTTCTCTTCAGATCTGTCACTCTGCACATGGCAGAAAGAGCTAGTCATTCCTCTCTGGATGTTTTGATAACAAATATGGACGTAGCTACTGAGCAGGGTTTCAGACAGGCGATAATATCTGTTGGGCCATCTTCAACTCTATTTATTCATGGGAGCATTTGCCCCCACAAATATACGTCATGCAAACATATTTGCATGACGTATATTTGATACTGTGGAAATTTCTCAGTACTTGATGGGTTGTGTGAGAACTGGTAAAGAATTGCTAGTATCTATATGCATATTTAGGGGACGTGGTGGCGCTGTGGGCTAAACCGCAGAAGCCTGGGCTGCAGGGTCAGAAGACCAAGCAGTCGTAAGATTGAATCCACGCGATGGAGTGAGCGCCCGTTGCTTGTCCCAGCTCCCGCCAACCTAGCGGTTCGAAAGCATGCAAATGCGAGTAGATAAATAGGTACCATCTCAGTGGGAAGGTAAAAACAGCGTTCCGTGTCTAAATCACACTGGCCATGTGACCACGGAAAGATTGTCTTCGGACAAACGCTGGCTCTATGGCTTGAAGAGCGGGATGAGCGCCGCCCCCTAGAGTTGGACACGACTGGACAAAAATTGTCAAGGGGAACCTTTACCTTTATATGCATATTTAGGAAATGGTTTGTTTGCTGTTTCACATAATAAGTAACCTTGTTTATACAGTATATCACAGAAGTGAGTACGCCCCCTCACATTTCATAAATAATTTGGTATATCTTTTCATGCAACAACACTGAAGAAATGACACTTGGCTATAATGTAAAGCAGTGAGCGTACAGCTTGTATAATAGTGTAAATGTGCTTTCCCCTCAAAATAATGCAACACACAGCCATTAATGTCTACACCGCTGGCAACAAAAGTGAGTTCACCTCTAAGTAACAATGTCCAAATTGGGCACAGAGTGTCAATATTTAGTGTGGCCACCATTATTTTCCAGCACTGCCTTAACCCTCTTTGGCATAGAGTTCACCAGAGCTTCATAGGTTGCCACTGGAATCTTCCACTCCAACATGAGGATCTCACAAAGCTGGTGGATGTTAGAGACCTTGCTCACCTCCACCTTCCATTTCAGGATGCCCCACAGATGCTCAATAGGATTTAGTTCTGGAGACATGCTTGGCCAGTCCATCACCTTTACCCTCAGCTTCTTTAGCAAGGCAGTGGTCATTTTGGAGATGTGTTCAGGGTCGTTATCATGCTGCAATAATGCCCTGCAGCCCAATCTCTGAAGGGAGGGGATCATACTCTGCTTCAGTATGTCACTGTTGGCATTCATGGTTCCCTCAGTGGAATGTAGCTCCTCAGTGCTGGCAACACTCATGCAGCCCCAGTCCATGACACTCCCACCACCATGCTTGACTGTGGGCATGACACACTTGTCTGTGTACTCCTCACCTGGTTGCCACCACAGACGCCTGACACTATCTGAACCAAATAAGTTTATCTTGGCCTCACCAAACCACAGGACATGGTTCCAGAAATCCATGTCCTTATTCTGCTCGTCTGCAGCAAATTGTATGTGGGCTTTCTTTTGCATCATCTTCAGAAGAGGAACGACAGCCCTGGAGACCAGTTTGATGCAGTGTGTGGAATATCGTCTGAGCACTGACAGGCTGACCCCCCCCCACCCCTTCAACCTCTGCAGCAATGCTGGCAGCACTCATACGTCTATTTCCCAAAGCCAACCTCTGGATATGACGCCGAGCATGGGCACTCAGCTTCTTTGGTCGACCATGGCGAGGCCTGTTCTGAGTGGAACCTGTCCTGTTAAACCATTGTATGGTCTTGAGCACCATGCTGCAGTTCAGTTTCAGGGTTTTGGAAATCTTCTCATAACCTAGGCCATCTTTATGTAGAGCAACAATTTTTCAGATCCTCAGATAGTTCATTACCCTGAGGTGCCATGTGGAACTTCCAGTGACCAGTCTGAGAGAGTGAGAGCGATAACACCTGCTCTCGCTTCACAGTCTGTCTCTGATTTTCACAACAAAGAGTTTTGTGGTGCCTTTAATAAAATATGCCACAAGGTTCTTTCTCTCCTCTTTGCGGCAACAGGGTTAACACAACTGCTTCATTGAAAAGTGTCTTTGATTTAAGGTGTTCATTAAAGAGGACGGGAAAATTTATCAAACTGCTTTCTCCTGCATTTGCTTCTTAGAGTTCCAAATACTTTCTATCCTGCACATGAAGGAAAGTGCATTTTTATGGTATATTGTTTTTAAAAAGAATGCACACCAAGAGATAGAAGCAGCTATGATCTATGTTGTGCCTGCCTTCTGTATACCTCTAATTCAGCATCATTGTGGTCAGGTTCACAGAACAATCTAGCCCCTGGGTATGGATGGCTAAAATGCTACAGTGGCTAGAATTCTGTTCACTTACACGATTGTGCTAAGAGCAATCATGTTAGCATTACCTCTCCTCCAGCAGGCTGTCTGTCTTTTATGTAAACAAGCAAGTGTTGATTATGAAATCAGTCGTGGTATCAGCTGCACAATTGATTGTGTGAAGAGCAGTGCAAGAACAGTGGAGGGAGAAAACCTCTTTGTGCCCATGTAAAAACTTGATAAGATTTGGTCATTTAAAAAAGAAATCTCACATTTATGAATGCATTTGTTAATTTTATCAAATTCTTGTCAACAATGAGCAGAAATCCAGTTCTCACCCATTTTATCCCCATGTTCCTATGTGCCTTCCCCTCATAAATCTAAGCTAAACCTATTGAGAAGTCAGAAACGTGTTTCTGTGTAAAGGGGACAGAGACACCAAGGGAGAAACGTCCTCTTTGCACCAAATGTATTCATTTTGGGTTTTTCTTGTGAATTCACTGAACTGCTTAAAACAAAGAAGAAGAAATCTGCTTTAACTGCCATTAAAGAAGAAATGACTCATTGTAATAACTAGTGGGGTTTCTTTTTATTATTATTATTTTTTGGCCGGGGGAAAGAGAACAGTCTCTTCCTGTGTTCTGAAGAGCAGAGCGGTAAGGCTCAGTAAGTGAAGGTGATTCGCTGAACTTTGCAGATGAAGTAAGAAGTGCTGTGCCATTTTGAGATTGGCTCAAGCCCAGAAAAGCCGCAGCTGTAACCTCAAGGGCACTGGCCACCCCTGAGATGCTTGGCCACAGGCATGTCAGAGATAATGGGCTTCACTTGCGCTCTTAGTATAACACAGCAGACTGAAAAATTATGCTGCATTAGCAGTCCTCCTGTCTCAGAAGACCAGATCCAAAGGAAATCTGGGCTGCTTGGTAAATCAGGAAAGCTTTGGGAGAAGGGCCAGCATTTACTGCACCCTGTATGTCACGTTCCACCTCATGCAAAGCCTTGCTATCTACAAAATGTCTACATAAGTCTTGTAGGTGGCAGTGAGATTGGTTTTCTTCCTGTCTGGTCACAGTTCTGAGTTTTTAAATGGTCTCAGGTGTCTTTCTTTAAGGTCTTCATGTTATATAATTTGGATAGCATGCCATAGACATCTCGTTTATCATTGTAAAAGAATATATTCAATGCTGCATATTTTCCCATTTTTTTTCCAGAAAACAAACAAAAAAAAAGGCTTTGAAAAAAAAACTGGTTTTACCCCAATTTTTCTGTCCCCCCTACCCCTGACCTTCCCATCTCTAGTCTTACCCAACATCTTTGGTTACCAGTCCCATAGGATTGTGCTATAAGGAGAATCATCCTTTTGCCCATAAACACTTTCTTTTGGATTTGCTGACTTGTGTCCAATTTTTCCCCTCTCTTTTTCTCTTTCTAGGATGTCGGGTGAACTGACAAGCCCTGTGAGTATGTGTAAGTATTTCAAAGGTGCTACTCAAGTGTGAATATCTGTATGATATTCTTTCACATAGGACCGAGTTGAAGAACCCTTTCTGTTTTCTCTACTATGGGTCATGTATATTTCTCAGGAGTACCTGTGGTAGATGCGGCCAAATCCAAAAATGGGGAGGATCCTCTCTCTCATTTTTCTGTTTCTACTACACCTTTTGTCGCTGTACCTAGCAGCGGCACAACTTTACTGTGGATGGATGTATATTATTGTCACGACGTTCCAGCTCAGACCAAAATATAAGTGATTTCAGCTGCCCTCAAAGTGACACCGAAATTGATTCCGAATCAGAATTCAGCGAGTATTTTGCTATACTGGAAAAACTCTGCTTACGCTCTTAGGATCAACATCTGAGGGATTTTTAAAATTTTTCCTCCTATGAGAAGCGTGAACGATAGGGTCACCTTTTTAATTGTAACACTTCAGCAAGGGCTGCCTGGCCTGACATTATTATTCCTTTACCATCAGTTTAAGGTATTTCTCTTCTCCGAGGCTGGAGAACATCCATGGGGACCCTCTAAGTACCATTTTTTTGTCTTCGCCAGATTTTGGAGGGCCAAAATGCCTTGTGGCCCCCCACAATCTCCTGTACACCAGAGCAGAAAATCACTGGATTTGTTATACACCTTTAAAAGCCTCTCCCCCTTTTCCTACATTTGATTTCAAAACAAGAAACTTATATTAAGGGAAAAAACAGCACCTTGTTTTCAAGAGAGCTGAGTCTCTCTCTCTCTCTCCCCCCCACCTTTCTCCTTAAAAAGAACCCAAGGCGACTTAAACCATTAAAAGCCAACATTTAAAGCTAAAAATATTAAGTATACAAATATAACGTCAAGTATACTAACATTAGTTAGTATACTTGACGTTAGTATTAGTTGTAATTAGGCTGTTTTATGTTATTGTATTTTATCTCTGTTGTTGGCCGCCTAGAGTAGTCCACCACGACTAGATAGGCGGGATATAAATTAAATAAATAAATAAATAAATAAAATAAACATTAAACATTAAGTATATCAACATGAATTGGACCCAACTCCGGGAGGCAGAAGGGCCTAGCATGCTCTGGTCGATGGGGTCATGAAGAGAGAGAAATGAATTCTTAGTCTGGTCCAGATATTCTTTCCCAATGCCCCAATTCTTTCCCATTTGACCATGTTCTGTGATCAGGAGGAGGCATGGACTGGAGATCAGCTTGGAACCTGCTTCAGTAACAACTGTCCTTTCCTTGCAGCCGTGGTCAGTAGCTCTTCTACCATAGCTGGAAGTGCTCTTGGCTTTGGACGCAGTGGTGGAGGTCGAGAGAGCAGTGGAGGATTCAGCCTGACGGGCGGCACTGGAGGAGGAGGAGGAGGAGGAGGAAGAAGAGCTGGTGGCAGCAGCAGCAGCAGTCTGAGTCTTGGAGTGGGTGGTGGAGACACTGGTGGTTCTGGAGGTGCTGGTGGTTTTGGTCTGAGTAGTGGGATCATGACTGGTGGAAGTCACTATAGTTCTGGAGGGTTTGCAGGGGGACTGGGTGTTGGAGGAGGAGGAGGAGGAGGAGCAGGCAGGAGCTCCTCAAGCACAAAATATGTCTCGACATCCGTCTCATCAAGCAGGAAAGTGGTCAGCTAAGAAAGGAAATACACTCAATCAGGCTCAGCCAATTTTTGGAAAAGCTCAGTTCTAATTGCCAGCAGCAACCTCCAACTGCCAAGTGAATTGTGTTTCTTATTCCTGAGAAGTTATTTGATGACGGAAATCATACCCCAATGCCAAATGATAGCATGAGGGCGTAAGGTGACTATTTACGAGAACTGTATACCAGCCTTTCTGGCATCCTCCCAATGTATTGGATAATAACTCCCATCATCACTATTTATGGGATTATGGACACTGGGGATAGTAACACTTGTAGTCCATCACATTAGGAGGATGTCCACTTGATATACTACTTGATCACTCCCAAACCGTAGCAAGCAGCTTCTGTGTTGAAGTCCATCCTTCACTATGCTCAGTGTAATGTACCTTAATGCCCCACTGATTTCAATAGGAAATTTAAGCCCAAATTTCAGCCACATCTGCTGAAGTCAGCAAGATTGAGAAAAAAACTAATCCTTTCTGTATCTCTGCTCTGTTCTTCTGGAGCACTCAGAAGGGTGAGGGGATGTAGTGTTTTCCATCTTCCTCCTAGATGATATTTGAAAATGCAATTTGTGCACAAGGTGTGGAAAGAACTTGCTCCAATAGGCATTCAGAATCCTGAACAGGCATAGAGGAGAGGGCGTTTTGATGCTCTTTGAATGAAATCAAATTACATCTGACATCATGGAAGTCAGTACATCAAGTTCTTCAACAGAAGGCTCAAGATTTAGAAGAGTGTTCTTACCTGTTGGCTTTTTTTGTGGTTCTCTTATGATCTCCTCCGGCAATCAGAACAATAATTGTGTCAACTCAGAGCTAATTTATATGCGACTTTGCAATAAAAAGGAAAAGCAAAGCAAAAAATCTCAGCTGCTTCTTGTGTGTTTTATATAGCATGTAATTTAGCCTTCAGTCAACCACACAACATTTAGTCCAGTGGAAAATTCTTTTAAATCTGGTAGTACCCATGTTGGGGTGATGTGTGGCCCTTCAAGGTTGTTTTTACAGGCCCTGCCCCTCCCTTAGCTCCCCCTTGTTTCTGTCAAAAAAATGAACTGCAGCTCTATGATTCATCTTTTAAATAGGTCATGGGAAGACATTCCAAAATGCTAATTTTTCAAAAATTGATGTTTTTAAATTTGTTAATGGGACGTGGTGGCGCTGTGGAAGGGATGTGGTGGCGCTGCAGGCTAAACCGCAGAGGCCTGTGCTGCAGGGTCAGAAGACCAAGCAGTCGTCAGATCAAATCCACGCGACGGAGTGAGCTCCTGTCGCTTGTCCCAGCTCCCGCCAACCTAGCGGTTCGAAAGCATGCAAATGCAAGTAGATAAATAGGGACCACCTCGGTGGGAAGGTAACAGCATTCCATGTCGAAGTCGCACTGGCCATATGACCACGGAAGATTGTCTTCGGACAAAATGCTGGCTCTATGGCTTGGAAACGGGGATGAGCACTGCCCCCTAGAGTCGAACATGACTGGACAAAAATTGTCAAGGGGAACCTTTACCTTTACCTAATGCTTTTAGCTTTTTTGCAGTCAAGGCATCCCCGGGGCAGAATATTAGTCCCCGGACCTGCCAAAATTGTCCTTGCCTGGCTTAAGTAGTGCATATGCTGTCTTCTTGCTGGAAAACAGTGCATTTTATCTATTTTGGCTAGAACTGAAAAGTGCTTAAGACTGTTTTTTTTTTAAAAAAAAAAATTCAACACACTCACCTTGCTTGTTTTCTAAAATGTTCACTGCTACTTACTGTAAATAACATTGCATTCATCCAGCCCTTCCTTGCTATTTCTTGCTCTGTATCTTTTAAATGTTTTTGTTACCAACAAAATGCAGTGTGATTTGTCTATGAGACTGGTGTTTCCTTTGTTTTTAAACTATGATTATTCACTATAGCTAAAATGAGATTTCATACAGGTTCCATTTTGCTTCAGTGTAACGAAGATCTTCTCCATCAATAAATATGTGGAGAATAAAGCAGCAATCTTGTATCATACTGACTGGAAGCAAAATCCAATGAATCCAATTAGATATTCCCCAGGGTAAGCATGTAAGGAAGAGCATATTAACAGACTCGGCTTTTAACTAGGAGCCAAATCCTGCCTCTGTCAATAAGTCATCAGCTGGCCATACACAACTTGTGCTCTCTGACTCTTTACTATCGCTTCATTGGCGACACAAAAAATAAAAATAGTGATCTACCTTGCCAGTATGTAGTAGAGTTCATTGAGGCAATATATGTAAAGTACAGTATGTATAAATACTGGCCAGAATCAAAATAAAGAATTATGCCAGTGTCAAGTCCATTTGTGTAAATTTCAGCAGCAAACTGCTTTTAGCCTCAGTCAGCATAGGCGTTTGTTATCATGTGATGAATCAGAAAACTGGTATGTGACACCAAACATCTGTATTGACTTCTTAATCAGTGGCAATTTGCTACAAAGACTTGTGCTAGTGGGTTTATTTGGCAGGTATTCAATAACATGATCCTGGCCATCATCTCAGACATGGGCTGTGCAACAGCTGATTGGAGGCTCAACAAACTGTGGGGGGAGCATCCAGATATTTATTGAATCTTGGGGAGAAACAAGGAAAGCTAATTGCCTGTGTGCAGTTATTTATGACATTGAGAAAGCAGGTGAGGAAAAAGATGCTAGACTAGAAGGGGGTCATAGTTTGGTGGGAAACCACCTGCTTTGCATCCTGTGGGACTGGAACCTTTCCCCTCCCCCCAGCCCTGGGGCTGAATTCCAATGTGGGAAGGGACACATTTCAGCAGTGAATGGGGCTTAGGGCATGGGCAACTACCAAAACAAACTGTCAGGATTAACGTATATGTCAGGGGTACATGTAATTGTTAAACAATTTGAATAATTTTCCACTAAGAATACAAAACACAGCTCAGTTCTTTGTACCTCTACCCCAGGATAAGCCTTAGCAAAATGACTTTCTGGGTTGCCAAGCACAGCTTATTTCCATGCAACATTTCCCATGATTTAAAAAGCCTTCCTTTTATTTCCAGTCAGTGATCAGAGACAACAACAGAAGCCATTTCAGCTGGATGGAAAACCCACTTTGGCTAGAGGCTGCTCTTCTCTGATACAGAAGGTTTTAGCTGTGATCTTAGCATCTTTAGCTGAAACACCTTTTTTTCCTAGAAGTCTTCCGTAGGGGTTGACACGGAACACCTTTCCTTTTTTAAGGACCAGGAAAGCTAGTGCCAATAACCATACACAGTACAAGATTACAGCATATTGGTCAGGAATTGGCAACTTGGTGCCCTGCTACTCCAGTATAACAAACTACAACTCTCAGAGTCTCTGGTTTATGGCTATGCTGAGTGATGATTATGGGAACTCAAAAGCACCAGATTATGGGCAGCACCAGATTGGCTACCCCAGATATAGATTTATCCTGTAATTTGGTGTGAGGCAGCTGTCTGTGGGCCCTCGAGCTATTCACCTTGTGTTTAGTGCAGTGTACAGTAGGAGTTCCTCATACTGTCAAGTTTCTTCCATGCTGTGCCAACTGCATCACTACAAGTCAAAATCTCCCAGTATTTGGCAGCAGCATGGAGATGTAAGTGTTACATACAGCACTGATGTTACCTGTCAAAGACGGGACAGAACAGAGGTAGTTCCCATGTGGGGCTGTGGGCCCTCGAGCTATTCACCTTGTGTTTAGTGCAGTGTACAGTAGGAGTTCCTCATACTGTCAAGTTTCTTCCATGCTGTGCCAACTGCATCACTACAAGTCAAAATCTCCCAGTATTTGGCAGCAGCATGGAGATGTAAGAAGCAGAAGGATTAGCCTTTTCAACTACAAAAGACAAAACAGAACAGAGGTAGTTCCCATGTTCATATGGGAAACGTGTCTCATTCAACTGCTTCTTATATTTTCATCTTGCAGCAATATTTTATTCCTCATAATACGAATGTGTGGATGAACGTATGGGATGACAGGATCTTGTTTTCCTAGGAAGGCACCCAGACAGTTCCAAGAAAAGTTGGGGATACTGATGTTGCCTGAAAGATGGACATCAACTGAGGCCTGGATTAGAGCAGTTGCATTGAAATGAAAACACAGCCTCCATCCTGTGTTAACAGGACTAAACTTGAGGACACAGCTTGATACCAAAACAAGTCAAGAAACCATGTTAAAGGATAACTCAATTGTTAATAACATGCATATTGCGCAGGATTTGGCACTGTTAGATTCAATGCTTTTCCCGATAACTACACGACATACAGCTAAATGCAACCCCATCTGGCCTTTTCCCTCTCCTCGAGCATTGCTTTTTTGCTCCATCAACAGGACCTTTGACTGTTTGGAAGTGAATTGATTTTCATTGGCTTCAGGTATCTAGGACAGTCCTTGTTGATATAGAACAGCTTGTCATGGGGTTGCGTTGAAGGTGATGCCTTCACCAGGTGTTCTGCTGCTAAATGGGGAACACCTTCAGCAATGAGTTCTCCTTTTTCACCTCCCAAAATAATGTTTTGAATTTTTTTAAAATGCTCTCTTACTCTAGAGCCAGGGCATAAGCAAAGGAAAATAAACATATTTTTTTCACCATGGCCTGGCAAGAAGCTAAGTCCAGGAGAACTGTTTCTGGGATAGCACAAATGTGACAGCTTGTTATAGCCAACCAGCATGGAAGCCTTTGAAGTAAAATGGTTTTAAGACCCACGAAGAATTAAATCAAAGTGTTTTCTGCAGGATTTTCAGCTCAGCAGTGTGGACTCTTTCTCTGATTCTCTCTGGCACCATTATATGTTTTCATGTGAATGGTAACAGCGATTTATGGGCCAGGGGAGTTGCAAATCAAACCAATTCCAAAACAGATCAAACCGATTTGGTTCCCTGATGTAATTGCATATTTATTCTCTCAGTACTGTACTGTGTGCAGAGTAAAGAGAGTAAATGCTGTGAGTCCAATGTTATTTTTTTAGTCTTGTGTCAGCATGGGAGAAATATAGTCATCTTGTAGAAACCTGGTCACAGAGCAATACTTTGTACTGCAGATGTTTGAAAGTGCTGATTCTTGACCAGGGAATACCTGAACAAGATAATTACATCAGGTAGTACATGCATATCATGACTGATATAATATAAACACTTGTGCAATGAGAAGCCTGCTGAATACTTGACTCTTCTGTAACCTGCTA